ATAATTGAAAAAGGTTTAGTGTAAACACCCCTTCAATAATCGGCTGAATTATATGAGGAGTACACAACTAATGATAATGACACAAAGGAACGTTATCCTTGCAATCACCTTTAAAGGTGCAATAGGTGATTGTTTTCTGAAACATATTTTGTTATGCTGGTTAAAAGTCTCTTCACATCCCGATAGCGATCATTAAGTTAAGTGGTCTAAATTTATTTATCTGTATTTATTTATTCTGTGGAAGGCGTAGGACCAATAAATGTTCGTCCAATCAAAACTCTCGGTCCGAGTGTTTTAATTGGCTTTCCTACCTGCCTGTCAATGTATGTATCTGTATACCTCTGTGCACCCGGTTCGCGCAGACAGGATACATCATCAGCGTGTTCACGCACGCTGTGCAGACAGAGCGAGAATGGCAGACAAACATCAACAAGCCGATCTTCCTTCCTTTTATTGTAGTACTTTTAAAGTTTTCTCCAGTGAATGACACATGATGTAGCCCACCGGTTCCCAATTATGCTGGTTAAAAGTCTCCTTCACATCCCGATAGCGATCATTAAGTTAAGTGGTCTAAATTTATTTATCTGTATTTATTTATTCTGTGGAAGGCGTAGGACCAATAAATGTTCGTCCAATCAAAACTCTCGGTCCGAGTGTTTTAATTGGCTTTCCTACCTGCCTGTCAATGTATGTATCTGTATACCTCTGTGCACCCGGTTCGCGCAGACAGGATACATCATCAGCGCGTTCACGCACGCTGTGCAGACAGAGCGAGAATGGCAGACAAACATCAACAAGCCGATCTTCCTTCCTTTTATTGTAGTACTTTTAAAGTTTTCTCCAGTGAATGACACATGATGTAGCCCACCGGTTCCCAATTCAAGTCCTCTGCGCATCAGTGGTTCAACTGTAAAGTTATGAAGCTACGAGCGCGCCGGTCACGCTCGCGTCATGGTACTGTCGTGAACGTGCGTCCGAAGTGACGCAGTAGAGACGAAAATGTGGAATAAAATCGTTATTTTTGTATTCTTTGCACAAAAAAGTATTCTCGTAGCTTCGTAACTTTACAGTTGAACCACTGATGTCACACGGACTACTTTGTCGATCATCTTGGTACTTTTCTGGACCTTGAACGTGGTAGTTACCTTGCTGTCTATGGGAGGGTCAGAGATCCCTCAGATTTCATCAAAAATATCTTAAATTATGTTCTGAAGATGAACGAAGGTCTTACGGGTTTCGAACAACACGAGGGTGAGTAATTCATGACAGAATTTTTATTTTTGGGTGAACTAACCCTTTAATCAGGTTAGACAACATTGAATTTAACGCAGATAAAACGAAGCTGCAAGGGTCAGATGTACCAACGCACAATATATAAGGGACTGTATTATTTTTACTTGGCTACCCACAATTTTCAAAACAGTTTTTTTGGCGTTTTTGTCTACTGAAAGTTTTTCTGAAAGAAGTTTTGTCAGCTGAACAATGTTGTTGAACAGTAAAATACATTGAACGCATGTATTGATTACCCATCATTCTTCACCTTCTGACAAACCGCTGCTGTGCCTAATGAGTATAAATGGTGGAAAACACTGATTATTGATTATTATTATACAGTGAAAGAAAAATAAATGCCCTAACTTAAATGTTATGCTCTGCAAGATTAAGATAAATTAATTTTGATTTCCTGTTGACTACTGTAAGTCTGTGTCTTTGTTCAATGAAGCCAGTTGCTTCTTCAAACGAGAGCAACTTCTTGTCCTGGTACAAGCTTTCACAAGACAACCTGACACCCATCTGTTTGTCTCTCTTTCTCTCCTCTCTTCGTTTCTCTCTTTGCCCTTGAACTGAAACAGATCCAGAGAGATATTCAATCCCCTCGTTTCCTCGTTTCGATTGTGGACACCCCTGCATGATTTAAATGGTTAAAACAGTATGTATGTGTTAATCATGCATTGCTGTCAGTAATAAATTATATTTTGCTTAAAGCTGCAGTCCGTAAGTTTTGCCTCTTTGTTGCCATCTCTGTTTGAAAACCTGTAATTGCAGCTGTGTGCGGAATTATATTCCATGCGTGGGGTTGTGCTCCAGCGCAGATGAATCTAATGTTTTGAGGTGAATGTGTGGCAGTCAGTCACGGTGTAAGGCACTGGTGTGGATATTTACTGTACTTCGCAATCACAGATTCTAGCCTACGTCTTGGAATATATGACCCAAATAAGAATTTTCACCATATACTGTCATCTGATCAAGTAAATAACAAGTCTGCCACGTTTGTTCTGACCAACTGAGGAAAAAAGGATTACAATAAATCGTGCTACCAATGGTGATTAAGTGAATCCATTGGTTAGCTCATATCACATCAAACCGTGCAAATTATTATTATTGTTATACTTGGTTCTCAAATTTTTCATGTTAACATCATCAGCATTACGTGACTATGAGTATAGTGTGTATTAGCGTGTGATTTCAGTTTCTGTACAGTCTAATCTCTAATTGTCATACCATTCGAATTTCATAATAAGAAATTCTTTTAACCCAAAAGCCAAAATAAAATACAGATCTTGTGTAATCTCAGACTATCTGTAATCAGATGCACATTTAAAACTGGAATATAATTTAATTTCATTCACGTGTGTTTCATAAACACATAATCCTTTCTGGATTACAATTCGCCATTAAAATGATACATTTAATTATTCCAGCTGCTGTGAGAAAAGGCTATAAACGATCGGCCACCTGCAGGATCCTCACATGCGATAACCTTGTAGCCGGGACAACTTCTTTATGTTTACAGACCTGACGTTATGACGCAGTGCCATGCTCGAATTTCCCGCGAAAACCTACCCGTACCATTCAAGTTAGAAAACATTATTATAAGCTTACCGTTGTGAATCGGGCTAAAGTAAGGCGATAGTTTTGAACATGGGCTGGTCGTGTACTTGCTCAAATATTGATTTCGGATAATTTTTGACCAAAAAAAGTTACGGACTGCAGCTTTAAATAGAGTGAAGCCTTTAGGAAAAGATCTCCATTTTTATGACAATTAAGCACACTTTCCCCACTGACCTATTGTTATTACTGTTATGTAAAAAAAAAAAAAAAACATCAGATATAAAAATAATAGCCTATATAGTGTATAACATTTTTATATCATATAAAAATTATTAATATAAACTCAAAAAACTATATCACACACATCTAATATGTACTATATATATATATAATGCAGTGTTTAAAAGTAAAATTTCTAGATGCATTGTGTTAATTACATTTTTTTAGAATGCAAAACCTTTTTTATGATCGTAAAATACTGCAGATTTCATTAAACGTACGGTAGGCCTACTCCTGTACAGCTAAAGGTCTGTAGGAATAACTGAAACATATAGCCTACTCATAATGCAAACAGGAAGGCTGCTTCAGAGTAAAATATGTCAACGTAAAACAGTTTGCCAGAATTGTAAACATGGTTTTGGATTAGCTTCAAGATTCTCCAGTGTTGAGATTATGCCGGGTTTGTTTTGGCAGTGAGTTTAAACAGGAAAGTGGAAGAAGAGTGAGATCAAGCATTAAAATCCAACCCAGACATTTGAATTTTTCTGACCATCACTCACCTTCATACCACAGATGGTTCTGTTACAACCACAACCCATGTTCATAAACCACTTTCTCTCATTCAATCCTCCTTTCAAAATTCCTTCAAATCTATAGGAAATAGTTCATTTTAGCTGAGAATGTAGGCCTACATATGCATGCTTGTCTGGACATGGACTAGACATGAATTTACCCCAGCTGTTGATGAAATGTTCAGTTTAACCAGAACAAGTCATCTACAATACAAAGCACAGGAGAAAGCAGTACCTCTCGTGCCCTACAGAGGACGATACACACCAGCTCCAGTGTGCAGTCCACTTACCAACAACACATAGGCTGTTTAGAACAACATACTAGCATACTACTATTTCTCCAGTATAGTATGTCAATTATGTACAGTATGCATAAAATACATACTATGTTTGCCTAAATGTGTAGTATTTAACTAAGCCACACAATAGAATACTGTATCCCACAATGCAATGCACCCAATTTGACCTTCCATATGACAAGTACACTGCACATAGTGCCTTCTTGTATCATTATTTGATAAGACATTTTTAGAATTATTTGGTAAAACTCTGATGGAGTTACAATGAAATAAAAAATTTTTTTACACAAAATTGGATAAAATTGTAAGTTAAACATTTTTGAGATGACAAAGAACTGTAACATACTAAGGTCATGTGATTACAATGTAGCTCTGTTTGAAGCATTCATATTGTTTTACATACACTATCATTCAAAAGTTTTTAGTTTTTTTAATGTTTTTGAAAGATCTGCTCACCAAAGGTAGCTATATTTATTTGATCAAATATACAGTAAAAACAGTAATATTATTGCAATTCAAAATGACTTTTTTCTATTTGAATATATGTTAAATTGTAATTTATTATTGTGATCAAAGCTGAATTTTCAGCATCATTTCTCCAGTCTTCAGTGTCACATGATCTTCAGAAATCATTCTAATATGCTGATCTGATTTGCTGCTCAAGAAACATTTCTTATTATTATCAATGTTGAAAACAGTTGTGCCGCTTAATAACTTTGTTGAAACCGTGATACATTTTTTTTAGGATTCTTTAGCATTTATTTGAAATACATTTTTGTAACATTACAAATGTCTTTAATGTCACTATATATGAATCAATTTTAATGCGTCTATAAAAAATTGCGATAAAAAAAACAAAAAACCTCACTGACCCCAAACTTTTGAACAGTAGTGTACTATTTCTAAACTTAATATGTACTGTACATAATATACTGTATAGAAAGCAGTACACTAGTAGTCCATTCCACACACAGCCAACGAAACAAAGCAGACGTGCAACAAAAATGATAACACACGTGTTGAGGTATGAATTTTTATGTGAATAAACCCATACTCACTGAAAACCAAACAAACACACACACACACACACATAGTGTGAATATACAGCTCAGCTCACGTCAGTCAAATCCAGAACAAGCACTAGTACCTTTCAAAACCATTGACCGCCCCAATGCATCTGAGCGCATTTCTACTGCAGTAAATAATGATGTGTGAGAAACCGTCAGGCAACACCAGCGTTTATGAACCTCTTCTGTGTCACGTTTGACACATCCAGCAGCATTATATACATTTACGGGCTTTGTATTGAATTGCTCTGCACAGATTAGATCATGAACTCCTGTAATAGACGTGTGGTAGCGTGACGTCGGTGTCTGTCGCTGCGAAAATACTCCCGGGCTTTTGTCTGCAGAATAATGACTCTTCATTTGAGGTGGCACTTGAGTTGAAAGACGAGACTCTGTTTTGACCTCCCAGGCCACTTGAAGATTCACCTGGTTCCAGGTGAAAGGTCACATGAAGGAATCTCCGTCCAGGTGTTAAGGCATTGCTTTATCCTGTATTGTTTTCTCTCTGTCCTGATACGCTTGATCTGCCCATCACAGGGAACGTGAGTCCTGGCGGCCATCTTGAATGCATCTGTGCCGCCTGGTTTCGAGAGTGAAGCTGTAGGGGTTTTTGTACCGTCGAATAAAGGCCGTTCATGGTGGTGCAAGTCAAAATCCAATCCGGGTACGTGAGCAAAGGATCGACCCTCTCGCCAAAACGCCTGACTCTGTAATGAAAAAGAGTTGAAATCATTTATGAGGGAACAGTACTGGCGCCGGCGCCGTCACAAATCAACTCAGCTGACATTTCTATCAAAACAGCCGCTTTCATCTTTATCTTTTCTTGTGGGTTGAGACATTAACTGATTCCGATGTCATAAACTGTCTCCACTGAGTAATTGAGTGACTAATTAATCGGGCTGGGCGGTTTATACCAAGTGACAATGGAATTATGGGATTGGGAGTAGATTTCTCAAATGTGACCATGGACCACAAAACCAGTCATAAGGGTCAGTTTTTTACTGAATAAATAAGCTTTCCATTGATGTATGGTTTGTTAGGATAGGACAATATTTGGCCGAGATACAACTATTTGAAAATCTGGAATCTGAGGGTGCAAAAAAATCTAAATATTGAGAAAATCACCTTTAAAGTTGTCCAAATGAAGTCCTTATTACTAATCAAAAATTAAGTTTTGATATATTTACGGTAGGAAATTTACAAAATATCTTCATGGGACATGATCTTTACTTAATATCCTAATGATTTTTCGCATAAAAGAAAAATTGATAATTTTGCCCCATACGCTGTATTGTTGGCTATTGCTACAAATATACCCCAGCAACTTAAGACTGCTTTTGTGCTCCACAGTCACAAATAAACAGAAACACATTGAATAAACATGGAATTTCAATGAAGTCGATCACTAAGAAAGTATTTTCTTGTAAAACATACTATAATACTAAAATATTTTTTGACAGTGTACAGTTCATACCGCAGTATATTTGTGTGGGGATTGTTATAAATGAGAATCGCTCCTACAAATGATGACATAGAAGATGAGAGAGGAATGGTGAAAAATTGTGTAAACGTGAGAGAAGTGTAACTGTTACAGCAGTAAGAGCTGCTCTCACTGGTGCTGTATGGTACCTCTGCTCTGCTGTGTTCAGCAGGATGCCAGGGGTTTGTTTACATGTAGTGCCACTGACTCTCCAGCCCCATATTCACTCCCCCAAGACCACCCAGAGCCGCTGAGAGACAGACACAGACAGAGAGAGAGACACTTTCATGAAACGCATTCTCAGAGCTTTCACAAAAACATCTACCCACAGCCTTGACTTTTGGAGAATTTTGAGTAGATATTGTGTAAAGTAGCAATTTTGCATACATCTAATTTGTTAACATATAAATGTATATATATATATATATATATATACTGTCCGTAAACCATTTATTGTATATGGTTCAAATATTTTGGGGTCACTAATAGTTTTTAATGTGTTTGAAAGAAGTCTCTTCTGCTCACCAAGGCATAAAAATAGAGTAAAGGCACAAATATTGTAAAATATTATTACAATTTAAAATAACTTCTTTCTATTTTAATATATTGTAAAATGTCCTTTATTCCTGTGATGCAAAGCTGAGTTTTCAGCATCATTACTTCAGTCTTCAGTGTCACATGATCCTTCAGAAATCAGTTTAATATACTGATTTACTGCTTAAGAAACATTTCTATTATATGTTATTATCTGTTTTCAATGTTGAAAACAGTTGTGCTGCTTCATATTTTTAATAACAGTGAAACTTGTTATGAAAGATTATTTTATAAATAGAATGTTAAAAAGTACAGCATTTATTTGCTTTTGTAACATTATAAATGTCTGTACTGCCACTTTTGATCAATTTAATGCATCCTTGCTGAAAAAAAGTATTATTTTCTTTCAAAAACATTTTGTGTGTGTTACATTAATCAGAACTGAGAGGGAAAATGTGCTTAACTGTCATAAACACAACATCAAAGTCCACAACAACACACCGATGGCTTCATTTTCTTCAAGCAAAATATAATTTAATATATATTTATTTAGATTTCGGGCTGAATCATCCTTTTCATTTTTATAAACCAAGCAGTACTTTGCTGGCTTCAGTTACAGGCTGGATGTACATTTTGTCCCTCAAACAGAGGCTTGATGTACCTGGTGGTCTGATGCCCATGTGCGACTGTCCTTCCATTACAAAACCTCCCATTGGCTGACCATCAGGAGTGTATGGGCCACCGTGACCTACTGCGCACACACACACACACACACACACACACGCATTACACACATACAGTATATTACGCAACAGACGATGCTATATATTACACAAGAGACGATACTAACAACACTCCCTTTCCAGCTCAACCAGACCATTTACTGAAACCAAACTACAAAAATAGGTCAGAAAAGATCATTTTGTAAGCATCCGTTTCGCCAAATGTCTTTGAGGCCCATTGCGCATTACACACATACAGTATATTACACAACAGACGATGCTATATATTACACAAGAGACGATACTAACAACACTCCCTTTCCAGCTCAACCAGACCATTTACTGAAACCAAACTACAAAAATAGGTCAGAAAAGATAATTTTGTAAGCATCCGTTTCGCCAAATGTCTTTGAGGCCCATTGCAAACAGCAAGCCTTTATCCTCACCACACCAACACAACTCACACTTCATCCTGAGGAGTGTGTGTGATGGATAAGGCTGAGTTCAACTAATTCATCCTGAAAAACATTTTAGGGGCAGTTAATACAGCACACGGTCTTGAGTTTAAAAATAGCACAACACAACTGAACAGAAATCATGTTTGGAGATATTCGATTGGTCCATTTTTTAATTTAAAACTTTAAAACTTGTTTTTTTGATTTATGTATTTATACCGTATACCCTAGTAAAAAAGTAATATATTTAAATTACATTTATTTCATACTAAGTACATTTCAAATCTATTACTGAGATATCGCTCAAGACTTACTGATATAAAAATTATAATTTAACTTTATTTGCTGTACTACTTGTGCACAATGCACATTTCTTAATATTAAGTCTAAAATGTACCAATCAGAGATAGGAGTCGTATCCCCAGCGGGGACGGGCCCGTCCCACTCTTTAAGGGGGTTAAAAGCTGACCCCTCACTGAACCCCTCTTCTCACCACGAGACCAAGTTTACGAGCTTCATGCCTCTGCCTGTTCACTCCAAACACACACACACACACTCGTACACGGCCCAACACGCACGCCAAACACATAACAACACTACGCAGCAAGTCAAATATTTGGGGGCCCTTTCTGGTGCACAAGGGAGCAAAGAAACACATAGTACCTTTCCTCCACAATCCAACACAGAACAAACCTGCTGTGCCATATATACACTTATACATTATTACATATACCCAAAAATATGCAATAGTATTAACATATTTGAGAGAAATATATACAATTATAATTAATAAATTCTTAAATATTATAAATAATAATATTAATTAATTATATATTAATAACATTACATTATAATAATATGATAATTAGACATAAATATATCTATTTTTATTTCTTATATATATATATATATAGATACATCTACTCACATTTTTTAAATATTTATATATTTACATGTATTTTAAAAGTTATATATTAAAAGGCTACAGTATTTTTCTTAAATAAAATAAAAAAATTATACATAAAATGTATCTATGTTTATATGTATGTGTGTGTGTGTGTGTGTGTGTGTGTAATTATAAAATGTACTTGCAATTTCAGAGTTAAAATTGTTACAATTTACACAGCTAGATAGAGTCTATATGGGTTTTAAATGTTTACCTATATAAAATGGGGATGAAAAGTAACAACTAGTGAAAATATTATATTTTGCGCCTATGTTCTACGCTGGCCGGCCGCGAACAACTTGACCCCGCCACAAACACGTCATTCTGCTGACGACTGCTTCTCTAATCTCGGGGAGTTCAACGCGGGATTCACAAAATGCTTGCTGTTGAAAGATGGATCAGTATCCTGTTTATTTGGACCAGCTGCTCTACTGAATCATAACCTGTAAGTATGATAAATAATAGATGTTTATATTTCCTATAGAGCGTTCAGAATACAGAACTATTGAAATAGGCGTATCGTTTCCGAAACGCGCTGTACGCCGTAGACCAATCACAACAGACTAGGCCATCTGACCAATCAGAGCAGAGCAGGCTCACAGAAAGGAGGGGTTTAGAGAGACTGAATCTTTGAAGTGCTTCGAACGAATCGTTTGAGAATCGCTGGAAAATGAGGTGATAGTAAATGCATATTTTGAGAAAACTAAAGCGTTTTTTTGACCTTGCATGCATGTAATCCTATTGTAGGAGACAACAAAAACAATATTAGGAACCGTAAATAATAGGCATAATTGGGGCACTTTAAAATCAATATGAATTCCAGTTAATGCTTAATGTTCATGCATACTGTCACAAATAAATGTGTTCAATTTAAATTTAAATATAACATTGTTTTATATCACTGCTTTTCTTAGTTTTAACATTTGTGAAAATTTCAAAGCTTTCTGATAATTTCCAGGTTTGAATAAACAATAAATCATTGTAGCCTCAGACATTCACTGTACATTCCTAGGCCTCACAGTTTATATTATTTCACCATATGATATTTGTAGCCTATTGAAGCTAAAACTCAACAACAAATGTTCCTGTCTGGAAACCATAGACATGAAGTGTTCTCTTAGTCCCACTGTATTGTGAGTTCATTCGGAGGACATTGTGTGTGTGTGTGTGTGTGTGTCTCCACGTTTAAATAAACCAGTCCAGCTGTTCCCAGTGATAATTTCAGTTTAATTTGACAGCAGCTCGTTTTCGCCCCTCTCGTTCCCTCACCTGTTTCCTCTGCGCGCTGGAGCTGCAGACATACACACCGCACTTTCTGCGCTCTTGTTTGTGTTGGGCTTTGAAGAGCACCTAATGTATTTCCACTCTGGTGATTAAAACGCTAATTAATTGTCATTTTGATTATGAAGGGCTCTTGAATCCGTGTATCATTCATTTTTTGATTTAATATTGAAAGTAGAAAAATGAGAAAACGGCTCCTTTTTTCTTTTTCGTTTTTCAAGAATTCATCTTAAATGTTCATTTTTTGTTCTGTTGTTCTCTTTATTTTTCAAAGGCATGACATTTTGTAGTTATTTTGAACGTAACATTACACAAATAAAAATATACGTTTTACCATACGACTATAAATGACAACAAAACCTGAAAACAAAAATGACGACTTTATTCAACAATTCTTCTCCCCCGAGTTACCGTCTTCCGCCATTATGGAGAGTATCACAACGCATACGCACACTTACACCTCCTAACATAAACAATGCTGATTACACTACAAAATGGCAGAAGACGTAACTCGGGGGAGTAGAATTGTTAAATAAATTATGTTGTTTTTGTTTTCTTTGTGCACAAAAAGTATTCTTGTAGCTTCACAAAACTGAAGTTGAGCCACTGATGTAGCATGGACTGTTTTACCGATGTCCTTACTACGTTTCTGGACCTGGGAACATTACAGTTGCGTTGCTGTCTATACAGGGTCTGAGAGCTCTCACATTTCATTAAAAATATCTTCATTTGTGTTCCGAAGATGAACAAAGGTCTTACGGGTTTTGAATGACATGAGGGTGAGTAATTAATGACAGAATTTTCATTTTGGGGTGAACTATCCCTTTAAGATATTTCCCCTCGATGGGGAAAAAATCCAAGTGAACATCAATCAGTACTCGATATTAATTTAAACTGCATATTTAAACTGCTTTAAATATGACTGCTGCTTATTTCCTGTGCACTTCAATACTGGTCTGCGCTTGACTGTCGTCGCGTCTGTCTGCTTATTGAGTTTATTTAACCCATCGCAGTTTATTGGGACTGTGTGAACTAGAGTGATTAGGCTACTCACCTTAATGTTGTTCTAAAGGCTTATTATTTAATTAACACAAACGTGCCCTGCTGGCACTTGCCAATTTAATGGCAGAGAATGGTGACTTTAGGTTTTTGCATATCTGTCGTAAAATAATCCTATGCATCACGTGGCGTACATTCTGAGCATTCTGAAGGTATACTGTGGGTTTGGTGAGAAACAAACCGAAATGGCACGTTATTGTAATTTATGAAAATCTATCTTGCGTTGCAGTCCTGTGTGCATTTCATGCCTAAAAACTATGCAAGCTCCAAAAATATGATCCAGACTACATGAAGTAAGGGTTTATTTTGAACGTAACATTACACAAATAAAAATATACGTTTTACCATACGACTATAAATGACAACAAAACCTGAAAACAAAAATGACGACTTTATTCAACAATTCTTCTCCCCCGAGTTACCGTCTTCCGCCATTATGGAGAGTATCACAACGCATACGCACACTTACACCTCCTAACATAAACAATGCTGATTACACTACAAAATGGCAGAAGACGTAACTCGGGGGAGTAGAATTGTTAAATAAATTATGTTGTTTTTGTTTTCTTTGTGCACAAAAAGTATTCTTGTAGCTTCACAAAACTGAAGTTGAGCCACTGATGTAGCATGGACTGTTTTACCGATGTCCTTACTACGTTTCTGGACCTGGGAACATTACAGTTGCGTTGCTGTCTATACAGGGTCTGAGAGCTCTCACATTTCATTAAAAATATCTTCATTTGTGTTCCGAAGATGAACGAAGGTCTTACGGGTTTTGAATGACATGAGGGTGAGTAATTAATGACAGAATTTTCATTTTGGGGTGAACTATCCCTTTAAGATATTTCCCCTCGATGGGGAAAAAATCCAAGTGAACATCAATCAGTACTCGATATTAATTTAAACTGCATATTTAAACTGCTTTAAATATGACTGCTGCTTATTTCCTGTGCACTTCAATACTGGTCTGCGCTTGACTGTCGTCGCGTCTGTCTGCTTATTGAGTTTATTTAACCCATCGCAGTTTATTGGGACTGTGTGAACTAGAGTGATTAGGCTACTCACCTTAATGTTGTTCTAAAGGCTTATTATTTAATTAACACAAACGTGCCCTGCTGGCACTTGCCAATTTAATGGCAGAGAATGGTGACTTTAGGTTTTTGCATATCTGTCGTAAAATAATCCTATGCATCACGTGGCGTACATTCTGAGCATTCTGAAGGTATACTGTGGGTTTGGTGAGAAACAAACCGAAATGGCACGTTATTGTAATTTATGAAAATCTATCTTGCGTTGCAGTCCTGTGTGCATTTCATGCCTAAAAACTATGCAAGCTCCAAAAATATGATCCAGACTACATGAAGTAAGGGTTCAGTTGCTGCAAGCATAACCATTGTAAGTGGCGACCGCAATGTGTTTTTGTGTGGTGAATGACTGGCTGCCGAGAGCATGAAGCCATAGAAATTCAAGAGACATTTGGAAACCAAACACTCAGACTATAAAAACAAGCCTGTTGAGTTTCTTTAAAGAATAGATCTATCTATCTATCTATCTATCTATCTATCTATCTATCTATCTATCTATCATCTATACATTTGTATTGTATTGGCTTGTATGTACTTTAAAATGCCAGATTTTATCCGTTTCTTTTAAAGAACGAGTGAATAAAAGTTCTTTGATGAACTTAAAAAGGTTCTACTAAGACATCATGCTGTAAAATCCTTGTTGTTTCTCATTAGAAATAACAACAGACATCACATTAGATCACTTGCTCATAATTGTTTTCTGGATTTTTTTGTGTTTAGCTTTGAGTTGATGTTGAGTTAGTTTGATCTGATGAGCACTTACCAGTTGTTGACCTGCAGGACGGTCAGTCCAGTGTCCTGGGACAGCTGCTTCTTCTGTTCCTCAGAGGGGTACGGGTGCTGCGGGGCACAAACATTAACAATCACAAAACATAAAAGTCAAAACAAGGTCAGTTTTGATTTCATGTTGACTTTAAAGCATTTTATGCTTAGATTATAAATTAATGTAAATTTATCAGAGAGTCAAAGGTATGGCCACAAAAAATGTTCATAAGATATAATAGATGCATGTTTGAAAATTGGAATTGGAATATCAAGATTTTTCAAAAGTATTATGCATTTTAACATATTAAAATATTATATTAAATTGTAAATTAATATATAATATTTCTGTATAAATTATTTTAATATTTAATATATAAAATATAAGTAATTAAGATTACATTTTAAAATGTATTAAAATGTATTTTAATAAAACTTATAATATACACACACACACACACATATATATATATATATAAACACACACACTATTTAATAATTTATATTATATATATTAGAAACTTAAGATTTAAATTAAGATATTTCTTCAGATGAATTACATTTTAAAATGTAATCATATTTATTTAATAAAACTTGAAATCTCATATTAAAATGTAATTTAATACATAAAAAGGATTTTAATAATTTGTTCTATATTATATAAAAAATTAAGATTTACATAATTTTGTACATAATTACATGATTTTTTTTCATCTTAAAGACATTAAAGATAATTAGACTTTTAAAGATTAATTACATTTTAAAATGTATTTTAATAAAAATTAAACTGTCAAAATGTAATTATATATATATATATATATTATTTTATTAACATATTAAAGTATACCGTTTACTATAAGATGAATTACATTTTAAAATATACTAAAAATAATTATTTTAAATTGTAATAATATTTCACAATTTAACAGATTTTCCTTTATTTTTTTAAATCAAATTAATGCAGCCTTGGTGAGCAGAAGAGACTTCTTTCAAAAACATTTAAAAATCATAATTATAAAAAAAACAACAACAGTGTACATGAAACAATAGAAACAACACAAAAATCAACAGGACTTGAAGAATCAGGTTTCAGCTGCCATTGTTCCTCTGTTGAACTGTGTTCAGCGTCTGTACTGTGTTTGCATGTGCAGCCAAACAAATTCCTTGTGTATCTTGGCAAATAAAGCCCTAGACTCTAAAGGAAAGCCCATGCGCTAATCGGAGAGCTGCCAGCTGGGATTTAGACGCCAAGCCACAAAGTCATTACAAATTGCTATCCTGTAACCAAGGGTGACGGCTCTAGCAACCACCAAAGATTTTCTCAGAACCGAGAGGATACAGAGGAGGTCTTAACCTGTCATTAGACAACAACTGATCCCGGGTCAGCCGTCTGAAGCTCAAGGAGATCTATAAATAAAGAGGTGTGTGTATTAAACTGATCCTGGAGCAGGAGTTTTACAGCAGCGACTATAAACACCTCACCCATGAATTACTCTCTCTTAACACCTGTTGCACGCTGAGAGCTCTGGTAGCAAATGGTGGGTAACTTTACGAGCGACTGAGCCATGCTGGCTGGAGGTGTGTGTGTGTGTGTCCTGTGAAACTCAATGAAGAGTTAAAGGTGTGTGTGGGGTCATTATCCTGTTTACAGAGGCAGTAAAACTGTTAGGGCTCTAATGATCGGTAATTCAGGGTGAACGGTACTTAAAAAGACTCTAAAACACACCCAGCCTCACCCGCTGCAGCTGTGTGTGTGTGTGTGTGTGAATGTGATGGTCTCTGTATTGTACTCAAACACTGCGTCTAGACCTCTACCTAAACTCTACTATACCAGCATTCAACTGTTGGGTCACAACCCCCCCCAAAAAAAAAAATCACAGACAGCAGCGGACAAAACAATAGTAGATGCAAACAATAAAATGCAAAAATCAGTCATAGGTAATATAATACATTTGCATATTTTTGGGCATATATTATATACATACACACATATATAAAGACATATACTGTACATAAAGACATTATACTTTAATATAATTTATGTATAATTGTTTTATTTTATCTTTATTTAATATTTTATAGTTGCATTAATTTATAATTTTTTTCTTTCCATCTTTTAATACTTTTGCACATTTTGGGGCATAAACAGTTCATGGTAATATTATATGAGAAGTATATAAATATATAAAGTAATATACCAATATTTAAACAATGTGTGTGTGTGTGTGTATACACACTGTATGTGATGGTCTCTGTATTGTACTCAAACACTGCGTCTAGACCTCTACCTAAACTCTACTATACCAGCATTCAACTGTTGGGTCACAACCCCCCCAAAAAAAAAAAATCACAGACAGCAGCGGACAAAACAATAGTAGATGCAAATAATAAAATGCAAAAATCAGTCATAGGTAATATAATACATTTGCATATTTTTGGGCATATATTATATACATACACACATATATAAAGACATATACTGTACATAAAGACATTATACTTTAATATAATTTATGTATAATTGTTTTATTTTATCTTTATTTAATATTTTATAGTTGCATTAATTTATAATTTTTTTCTTTCCATCTTTTAATACTTTTGCACATTTTGGGGCATAAACAGTTCATGGTAATATTATATGAGAAGTATATAAATATATAAAGTAATATACCAATATTTAAACAATGTGTGTGTGTGTGTGTATACACACACACACATGAAGTATTACAATGAAGAAATGATAAATATAAATATATTTTATTTAAATATAACTCTATTATTATTATACTGTATTTGTATTTAATATTTTATTAATATATAATTTTATATATGAAGTACTACAATAAAGAAATGAAACCGTTATTTTAAATAATACAAATATTTCAAAATGTTACTTTTTTGCTGTACTTTGGATCAAATAAATGCAGCAGAAGAGACTTCTTTAAAAAAACAAAAAAATCTTACTGTTCAAAAACTTGGTAGTGTATATATGTTGCTATATTCTTGATTATTATCCTAATTTATTTTATTGTATTTATTTGGTATATAAATACAGCTTTATAGATATTAAATAGCTACTTTTACTTAACTTGCAGTGTAGCAAACAACTTTTTCAAATGGGTAGCTTTATAGTATCTAAATTACGAGTAGCTTGTTACTTGGCAAGCTAGTTTTAAAGTAGCTTCTCCGACACTGCATAAAACAGATTTTCATTTTAAAAAGATGTTCCTGCAAAGACCCAGCAGGCCGAATGTGATTTTCATTAACTTTGCAGCGCATCCCAAAGCGAGGCTCTCCGTTTCATCTCTGCGTCTCGTCTTCGCCTCCCTCCCCTCTGCGTTTACCAAAAGTCTGGCCGTGATGAATCACCTCTCCTTTCTTTCATTCTCCCCAGCATTTTTCTTTTCCGCATCCCTTTCTTTTCACGGGCAAGGACGGAAATTCCCCGTAGGTCTAGCAGAGCCTGGTCCCCAGGAGGAGCTGTCAGAGCCGTAATGGATGGTGTTTTGATAACAGCGAGTTTGACCCTGGAGAGACCCCGGGGGGGAGGAACCCCAGCAGATCCATCCTCACACAACATGCCCGTGCAGTTGGGCTAAATGAGGTCCATCGCGCCCCCACCCCGCCCCCACCGCGGCCCTCCGCTCCTCATTTTTTGGGACTGACGCTAATTGCGGCGCCCTCATTACAACCAAATGCTCTGGCGCTTCAAAGGAAAACTACGTCTGTGTAAAAACCAGCTTAAACAGTAGCATGGACAGCCTAGAAAGTATAAATAAAGCCCTAAACAAAAGCCACTGTTACAGGTGGGTGTTAAATAAGTCTCATGTAGTGGCATTAACTGAGACATAAAAGAAAAATGTTCACCCACAGAATGAAAATGATGTCCTTTCACAGCCCTGCCTCATATTTACTGAATGAAATCCAATGCTTGTTTCTTACTCAGTCTGGGCTGCTGATTCTAAAAATAGTGCCTAATTTTGCTCTTGCATGTCACACTTTCTCACAAAATATGTGGAATTTGTAGCATTTTTGCTTTCGACAACCATTTGTAAGGTTGAAGAAGTCCTGTATTATCACTTCATCATCAGAAAAACTGCCATAAAGACATAATTTCTGGAAAAAATAAATAAATCTTCATTTAGATTTTGTGAGGGGAAAAACGGTTAGTGACAAAAAAAATGTGTTGATATTTTTATATACATTTTATATACAAGATTTTAAAAACACACACTCACACACACACACACACACTCAAAAGATTGGGATATGTAATATTTTTAAAAGAAGTTATCTTATGCTCATCAAGGCTGTATCTATTTGATCAAATATACAGAAACAATTTAATTTTGTGAAATATTATTGCAATTTAAAATAACAGTTTTCTATTTTAATATATTGTAAAATGTCATTTATTGCTGTGATCAAAGCTGAATTTTCAGCATCATTCCTCCAGTCTTCAGTGTCACATGATCCTTCAGAAATCACTCTAATATGCGGATTTATTATCAATGTTGGAAACAGTTGTGCTGCTTCATATTTTTGGGGACCTGTGATACTTTTTTCAGAGTTCTTCGAAAAATAAAACGTTAAAAAGAACAGCGTTTATTCAAAATAGAAATTGTGTGTTACAATGTACACTACTATTCAAACGTTTGGGGTCAGTAAATGTTTCTTTATTTTTTTTAAAGAAATTAATACTTTTATTCAGCAAGGATGTGTTAAATGGATTAAAAAGTGGTAGTAAAGACATATTGTTAGAAAAGATTTCGATTTTGAATAGAAAAATTCTTAGCATTTGAATTTGAATTATTTTTTATTCAAAGAAAAAAGAATCACAGTTTCCCAAAAAAATATTAAGCAGCACAACAGTTCCAACACTGATTATAAATCAGCATACTAGAATGATCTCTGAAGGATCATGTGACACTGAAGACTGGAGTAATGATGCTGAAAATTCAGCACTGCATCACAGAAATAAATTAGATTTTAAAGCACATTAAAATAGGAAACCAATATTAGAAACTGCAATAATAATATTTCACAAAATTGTGTTTTTTCTGTATTTTTGATCAAATAAATGCAGCCTGGATGAGCATACGCTCTTAAAAATAAAGGGTGATTTTGCAGTGATGCCATAGAAGAACCATTTTTGGTTCCCCAAAAAACATGTCAGTGAACAGTTCTTAAAAGAATCATTTTGAAGAACATTATAAAAATCAAAAGAAAATTTTTCGACTATAAAGAACCTTTTCTGCATTTGAAAGGTTCCATGGATGTTGTGTGTGTAAGAGTGTATGAGGATCATGATGGAGTGTAAGAGGATCGTTTGAACCGCACATATATACAGCATCACCAAATTAGGCAATATTTGGCCAAATCAAATATTGTGGCAAATCAGCCAGAAATTTTTTTTTTTCAAGATACAGATCCAAACCTGCATATTTTTGGGACACAAAACTTAATGCAACTCTTTCTCACGCAGCAAAGAACTGCCCAAAACTAAAAAAAAAAAAAATGATGCAGTAAAAGTAGTCGAAATGACTCATGCATTATGAAGAAATGACAGCATATGGGTCTTGAGCAACAGTAAGAACGCAGAAAATAATGAGAGGGTGAACCATTCCTTTGGTCTGCGCTGCAGCAGAATTAAAGGGTAATCAGCAAGCGGAGGTCTGCGAAATCACATTTACCACTGACAAACACGAATATGGAGATTGAAAATGATCAGAGCCTGGGAAGAGGCAGGGTGGAAAACATATGAATTAGGTTTTGCATGTGCTTCTCGTGTTTCTGAACTTCAAACAGCAGGATGCGATGGCGCTGCATGGTGTTTGTGTGGCTGCTGGAGCTGAATGGATCAGGCAACTGTACGGGAATAAAGGTTAGGGGCGCGTTCTTTTACACCCACGACCTTTGACCCCCTAATGATCTCAGGGAATGTTGTAATGTCATCTATCTGCATGCTAACCACCTTATTCGGCGCCTGAAGGAAAGCCCTCGAATCTACAGCTCACAGTCCGTTTCATTGTTCACCTCCAAATCACTGTGAAGTATGTTTAGGTGTTTGTGCGCTGCTACAAGTTATCTGTACAATAATGTTGTGATTATTGTCGTGTTAATTCATAAGTTGATCATGTATTGGTTTAGGCCTGTACTTGCTTCTCATATGAACTGATTTTAGCAAGGGGTTGGCACTGTTGCTAAATCACACAATAGCCCAAATAACCATTTGATACAAAACATGCAAAGTAAAATGGTCTCACAATTTTAACACTCCATATTGAAATAATTATAAATATATCAACATTTCTTGCATTTTATTCACCATCTTGGATAGATTTTTTTCCAGCTTGTGCATATGGGATTGACTCCTCTTTGAAGGATATTTATGATTCTGCCAATTTGGCAAAAAGAAAGTATCTAATTTTCTTTGCCGTTCAAAGGTTTGGGATTTTTTTTAAATGAAAGAAGTCAGTAAAACAGGGGAGAAAAAAACTGTAATTTGTGAAATAGTATTACAATTTAAAATAACTATTTTCTACATGAATATATGTTAAAATGTAATTTATTCCTGTGATGCACAGCAAAATTTTCAGCATCATTACTCCAGTCTTCAGTGTCACATATACTTCAGAAATGTCTTTACTGTCACTTTTGAACAATTTATTGCATCTTATATATATATATATATATATATATATATATATATATATTTGGCTTTTGAATCCATATGGCAAAAACTATAATTTCCAAATATATTTAAATATATTTCAAAATATACAAAAAAAGGCCAAAAATATATTTGCTAAAATATGTTTATTTATGTAAATATATTTTCTACCAATATATATTTGGATCATTTTGGAATATTTTTTAAAATCTATTTTATAAATATATATATATATATATATTTAAAAGCATTTAAAATGTATATTTTGATTAAAACGTATGCAGTGTGGTTAGCACATGTTTAGCTCATTCCTGTCCTCTCATGACTCCAAACGATAATAAAAATACAAAAGAATAAAAGCAATCTGAAAGCAAAAAACTTCTACAATCCTTCCTTCCTTAATGTTGGTTGCTCAGGCAGCCTTGTGTTCTGCTGCTTCACATCTGCTCTCAAGAAGGCAACAAACTATCCACTAATTACCCAATCTAAATCACAGCCTTTATGTGGGACACATTTGAGCTAGTGTTTATGAGGCAGTGTGAGCGCCTATTTGTTTGGAAGGAGATTCAACAAGTTTCCGAATGAGAGAGAAGGAAAATAAGGCTGCAGAAATGTCTGCTCAATTCTCTGAAAGCAATATCACTGATTACATATTCAAAGCTTGAGGGAGGGGGAGGGGCTCCGAGTCGTGCCCGCCCACTTTACCATGGAAACCGTTATCATACACATGACAACAGTAAGGAAACCCTGCCTGTGTTTCATCCCAATATATCATTACACCGGTCATTAGTGCATCTCTCTGTGTGTGTGTGTGTGTGTGTGTGTGTGTGTGTGTGCGTGCGTGTTCACTAACTAGCCTCTAGGCAATGTGGGAGCGTCACTGAGCTTGAAATAATGTAGCAGTGCAGGTACAGACACGCCGCATGAGCTTCTTATCTTGTTCTGTGCATCTGTAAGCTGTTTTATAGGTTTATATGTGGGTATTGATGACCTCCAGATTAAGCTTACAAATAAAGAAACTTTAGGTTACATGATAACTAGTAACGCACATTCACCCGCACTTTCATTAATCTTAACGTTAATATTTCTGAAAACCGTAATTCTGTCATTTACATTTATATTGCATACAGTTTAATGACATTTGACTTTAGTTCAGCACATTCTGGTTTGGTTTTTACCCTATGAGAAAGTAATACGCAATGTAAATTAAGATTATAAGAGCTTGATTTGCATAATCATTGGGAAAGCAGAGAGGTGTTTTACCGTGAGGTGCTGGAACAGCCATGCCCTCATGATGTTGGTTGCCACTTTGGGAAAAATGCCTCTTTTCTTGTTGTTCTTCCTCTCTTTATCAGGGTCTTCCTCCTCTCCTGTGCTTGGAGACGCAACACTCTGATCCAGACAGTCACCTGGGGAAAAGAAAGCAATTACACAGCGTTAACAGATGTGAGATAATATTCTTTGTATTTGCATTGGCTGCATTCGTTTTCATTTCTTTGTAATGCTTTTAAAGTGCCCCTTTTATTGATTTTTGAAAATTACCTTTCATGCAGCGTGTAACAAAGCTCTAAGTGAATGAAAACATCCTGCAAAGTTTTAAATCTGAAAGTGTACCGTGTATAAAGTTATTGTCTCTCAAAAGAAAGAGTAGACTCTGAATCATTGAAACGAGTCGTTTTTTAAACGAATCCCAAGCCGTTTCATGTTGAAGTCAACAAGAAACATTATCATATTGCCCGCCCACTTGTTGGTCTTTTCGCCTTGGTCTGAATGAAAATGCAAATTCATTCTTCACTAGGTGCTGCTTTTGGAGCGGTAAAAATATCGGTTTCCCCGGTAATGCAGTACACAGAGCAGCACTGCGCTCACAAACGCTGCTTTATCAGGCATTACAGGCAAGATGAAATGAAAATAAGATCAATCGGACCAATCACCGAAAAATGAATCGTTGAGCGAATTGTTCGGGAGTCATTGAGCAAGTAAGGTCAAAATAAATGCATATTATAAAGACAATGAAAATGTTTTTTGACCTTGCATGCATGTCAACCTGTTGTTGGGGACTCCCAAAACATGATCCTTTCGTTACCCATAATAGGGGCATTTTGAACATTTTAGACACCATTTAAAAGGGGTTTTAACATTTCAAAAACCTTCTAATACATGCAAAAGCATATTTAGTTTGATGATTATTTTTCACTAATAAAGTACATCACAAGTACTTTATTCATTTTCATTCATCATAATTTGAGCATGATTACGCTGATCGTTTCTTTCATCACAACAGTATGATCACATTACTTTTTAATTACGCTCTAAATACATCATTACAACTATAATTATTTGAACTTCTGTTTGATATGACTTCAACATCTCTGATGTGTTTTGTTAGCAGTTAGTTTTATTTAAGGGGCCATATCTTGAGGAGCCAAATTCTCCTTTTGTACTGTAACAAACAGTAACTTTTTAGAGCTATAAATTACCATTTATTAGGAATAATCAGAAAAACACCTTGTTTTGAACAAGTTTTTACAACTTTCTGATGTCAGACAGAAAAAAAACTGCACTGTAAAAAGTGTTACCTTAAAGAGCCATTTCTACATGGTTAAAGGTAGTTTTGTTGGTATAAATTAATTTATGTAGGAAGATTCAGTGATGTTTGATAATATTTTTGACAATTATCTCATTTTACATGCAAAGAAGGCATTTAGATAAAAACTCTACTGGCAAAAAAAAAACACAGAAACAATATATAATATATATATATATATATATATATATATATATATATAGTGTTGTGTGTTCTGTGTATATTTATTATGTATATATAAATAAATACACACATGCATGTATATATTTCAGAAAAATAGGTTGTTTATATATTAAATATGTTTATTTATAATATAAATTAAATGAATATAAATATAGACATGTAAACACATGTAAATATTTTCGAAATATATACTGTATATGTGTGTATTTATATATACATAATAAATATACACAGAACACACAGATATATTATGCAAACAAAAACTTTTATTTTGTATGCAATTAATCGTTTGACAGCACTAATATATATATACGCTTTTATCCTAAGCGACTTACAAATGAGGACAATATATATATATAAAAATTGCATATATTTTACATTTATGAAAAATTGTCCCTGTCACCCAAATGCAATTACAGAAACATGATGACATTAGTATATTTTAGCTTGGATATTTTTGGATATTTTACAAAACTAAAACTAATTTAAGAGGGTTTTGAACTAGGTGTTTAAAACCAACATTCAAAAGCATTGTTATGGGATTTTGTGTGTGGAACTGAACTAACCTTCAGTTAGTTTCCCATGTGACAACTTGCCCCAGTCAATTATATACTGTATATGTATTTCATTCATTTATTTAACATTTTTTAAAGTGACTTATATCTACATTCCAAATTAAATGTTTATTCAGTGATGAGTTGTTCAGGAAAGCAAATGCTTCAGAATTGAGTCAAACTAAAGTAAGTGGCTTACTTTTTGTTATCCAGTGCCAATTGTGCACAGAATAGCAACATAGTTTGGTCTTCTCGGAATAATCCTTTGTATAAATAAGGAGATGTTTAGCATCTCTTCGCAATGAGCAGACGATCTTGTGACATGCTTATAATAACTCAAGATTTTCAACCAGACAAACATAATCCCTAATGTTTCAAATGCAATGATGGTGTCTCTTAAAACCACATTATTAAGAGAAACGCACTGTGAGTTATCATCACATGACACCAAACTCACAGAGAACAACAAACATATGTGCAAACAATGCAGTAAACCGAAAAACATGCTTCAGTGATTTGCATTAGGTATTGAAGACACGCACAGCACACTTGACAATGTTAATGAACTCTGATGGATTATTTACAATAAATAATTAACACTTCCCAAGTTTGCTATATATATATATATATATATATATATTCTGAAATAACAACATATATTTATTTATTTTTAGCCACTTCAAATCCTTTGTCTTTAGCGACCAGTTCAGGTGCTGCTGCAGTTAGACACCAACAGTTAGGAAGACTGTTATCTAAAACACTTTGTTTACTTGTCTCCGCCAGGAACCAAATATGATTAGAAATTTGGGAGTTTTGAGTAACCTGCTACATAAGATTGAGAATGTATTTTTACTCGCTAAAAGGTTTCATCACACTTGTGATCATGTTACTGTGTCATTATATTCAATTGGGGAACGTATAATCTGAATTATCATATGATCTGCAATAATTTTGTGGGATTTAATTATGCATAACATGGACACTGTGGGAAGAGTTAAGTTTCATTTAACCTCAAAAGAGCAAAAATGATTCATTATAAAATGACAGAAGATTGATTATCTGCTGTTATTTAATATAGACAAGGAGGACGGATAGTCTGTGGCCGTATTGTATCACATGAAACAGGAGTTTCAGGCCTCCCCACAAAAACAAACTGTCCGGATAGTGTTTCAAGTTTGTTTCGCTACTGTATTTGAGCGGCTGTATTTGAAATTATAACTTCAAAATATATTAATGTATTATGAAAAGAGTATATTTTAGGTGCCTTTATGTTTTTTTTTTTATTATACAGGTAAAAGAAAAAAAAATGTAATGCAGAAATATATATATATATGCAAATCTTCGCTACTGTATTTGAGCGGCTGTATTTGAACTTCAAAATATATTAATGTATTATGAAAAGAGTATATTTTAGGTGCCTTTATGTTTTTTTATTTATTATACAGGTAAAAGAAAAAAAAATGTAATGCAGAAATATATATATATATGCAAATAAATATAGACAAATTACAAAAACATTTAAAATAGGTTTCATAACAACTTTCCATTTGCTGGGGGGAAAAAACCTTTCTCACTAGAGACCCATAAATCTTGATCATATTATAGCCAGTGTTGGGGAAAGTTACTTTTAAAAGTAACGCATTACAATATTGCGTTACTCCCTAAAAAAGTAACTAATTACGTTACTAGTTACTTTTTATGGAAAGTAATGCGTTACATTACTTTTGCGTTACTTTCGCGTAACTTTTTAAATATAAGCCGGGCTTGATTGTTTTTAATATAAGACGTTCTATTTATAGCAAATATAAAAGCCCTTTCACACCAAAAAGTGTAATGAATAAACCTCAAGCTGAAGCAAAAGTAAATTCACGTCTGTACAGTAGAACGCAGGAGAAGAAGCACTCTTCAGCAATAAAAAAAAACAATGAAGCACAATTGTTAGTTTCTCTAAAGTCATTTTTGCTTATTAGTATGGTTGAACTGGATCATCAAAGGTCAGCAGCAAAGACATCGGTTAATAAAATGGGATTAGATGCATTTGTGTTATTTAACATTTTTAATTCTTGCAGGTTTGCGTCATATTCTGAGTTTGCATTTCACTGTTTTAATTCATTTTGATGAATACTAAATCTGTTTTTTGTGAGTGGGATGAATTAATGCACATTCACATTTAATCTAGAACTACATCATGTTCACACAACTCCTCTGTACTCCCGATTTCTCCCGATATGAGGACAGGAGAGCTGTCAGTCAATAAATGGGAAAACAAAGTAACTGGCGTTACTTTTTTGAAAAAGTAACTCAGATATTTTCTTGTAAATTAAAAAAGTAATGCGCTACTTTACTAGTTACTTGACAAAAGTAATCTGATTACGTAACTCGCGTTACTTGTAATGAGTTACCCCCAACACTGATTATATATATATTTTTTTGTTATATGTTAGCATCTATTAAACTTTTAATATAACAAGTAATTCACTTTTTCATGAAAAAGCTCTGGCTCTGTACAAAGCATGAATACACAGCATTCAAGAGCAGAAAGATTTGAGCAGAAGACTTGCCTGGTCTGTCCCGCCCGGAGTGCGTGTAAACTCCTCGCCGTCAGATCTGGATCCCCCGTCTTTATCATCCACCATCAGATCAGTGGGCATCTTCCCCTTCAGACAGCTGATGTAGCGGTGACAGAAATTGTCACACAGCTCATGCACCTACGACAAGCGCAGACATTAATCATCAGCGATCGGCCTATATGATATTAACATGATGTAGGCTGCGTCGCTCATAATAATAATAATAATAATAATAATAGTAAGTGAAAGCCCAACCTTCTCTAATTCGAGGAGATGAAATCGTAACACTTGTATGGCTTGAATCATCTAAAACGAAACGACATATCAAGTCACAAAAACGCTTTGTGATTATCGTTTCATTTTACCCAGCAATAAAAAATAAAAATGGAACTGAATTAGCATTTAAATAATAATAAATAAAAAATCTCAAACCACAGGGCGACCTACCAAATTATCCAAGTCTGGATTCGACGAGAAGAAAGGTTTTTCCGCCCTTATCTGAAATGAAAAAAAATAGCGATCGTATCGTTAGTCCGTGGGCTAATATCGAGGCACAATTTTCACACAAAATTAAATTGGGCTGCGTTGTTTGCTGATATTAGTACAGCTTTGTGCTAATATAATAAAGCGCTGATAGAGAGGTCAACGTGGGCTGACCTGTTTAGAGAATACTGTAATATCTTCGTCGAAGGACTCGGACGAGCAGACGTCGCCGGTCACTCCGCTCTCTCGCGGAGTGCAAGTCGCCAATTCACATTTTTCGAAAACTAGTGCAAGCAGAGGAAAGAGAGGATGCCTGCAAAACAAATCACACTCAGTGGCGTTTACAGCCTATTTGTGGCGAAAATAATGCGCTGTTAGTCCTCAAGCGCAGCACATTCAGACTCTAGGCCCTGTCTTTTTTTCTTTTACAGTTAAAATGAAATATGAAATGAAATATATTTTTATGTGAAAATTTAAGTTATTTTCAGGTTCATGCAAAAATGTATAGTTGTTGTGACAACAGGCAAACAAAGTTCTTCATTCTGGCATTGCTATATGTGACCACAAAACCAGTCATAAGGGTAAATTTTTGTATATATCATCTGAAAGCTGAATGAATACATTTTCCATTGATGTATGGTTTGTTAGGATAGGACAATATTTAGCTGAGATACAACTATTTGAAAATCTGGAATCTGAGGGTGCAATATATATATATATATATAGGCTATATATATATATTGAGAAAATCACCTTTAAAGTTGTCCAAATGAAATTCTTAGCAATGCATATTACTAATCAAAAATTAAGTTTTGGTATATTTACGGCAGGAAATTGACAAAATATCTTCATGGAGCACGATCTTAACTTGAATGATTTTTGGCATAAAAGAAAAATCGATCATTGTGACCCCCACAATGTATTTTTGGCTATTGCTACAAATACACCCGTGCTGACTGGTTTTGTGCCCCAGGGTCACTTATCTTTAAAAACTGATCCAAATGAGAAAAATAAAAGTTCATTTGTGCTAAACGTAGTCTATTTTATCAAAAAATCACACTGTCTACATAAAAACATTTCCATTATTTCCAGTATTTCTGTATAAAGTAGTCTTAACAGAACATCGTAAATTAACCATCCTTATGGCGCCCTCTACTGGCATTATTTGTGTTGAACAGATTCCCGCAAGCCTAACACTGACTGCTTTGTAACTGCTTGACTTGAAGCTTTAGACTAAATGGCTTTATTTATTTTACTTAGATTTTTTACTTAACCTGAATATTTGAACCTATAATGTTAACTGACAATGACAACAGTTTTCAATATAAGCTGTTTTACCGAGACCTTTTCTCGTTTATGAAATTTCCATAATTCAATAATTCAATAATTTCACTTTTCAAAAATAATATTTATATTGAAAAACATTCGATTTTTGTTGCAGATCTATTTTCACTACATGTACTCATGTAATACTCGTTTACATCAGATCTTTTTTTTTTTTTTAAGTTTATAAAACAACCACCACCTTTTTTACCACGAGGTGGAGGCATATGAACAGATTTGACTCGACGCTTAGAGCATGGACCGAATTTGGGTTTGGAACACAATTCACTTTCAAACGGATTCACTACTCTAACCATTTCCACTAGACCTATTACAGATTTCTCGGCGTTTTTAGTTTGTATTAAAATAGTATTTCATCTTTTTGATTCCCTCAAGTCTACAAAATCTACTTGTGTTTTTGTTTCAGAAAACATTTCTCAAAAGCTAGCCAATGGCATTTTAATGACTTTGCCTGAAAAACTGGAAACTCCTGATTTAAGTTCCACAATCACCACATTTTACCTACTTATCTTTGTTTTTGAGACTAACTGGTCAAGATTTAGGCCCAATGTATATAACCGGTACATGCACATTTTTATAAAGAAATGATCATTACACGCTACATGCTACAAGCTGATCATTTGCTGATCAACCTGCAACTGGGATCTAAAAACCAAACGAAACAATTTTCCGAGGCTTCTGCTCACCTCATGTCTGATTGCTTCTCAAGACGGCTACTGACAATCACATAAGCAGATGACAGCATAAACAAAATAAAACCTTTCAAAATTATGTCATTTTTCTAATGAAACATGGATAGGTTTGCTCAGTTACACTCTTAAAAATAAAGGTGCTTCACGATGCTATAGAAGAACCTTTTTGTCTAAATGGTTCCATAAAGAACCTTTAACATCTGAAGAACCTTTCTGTTTGACAAAAGGTTCTTTGTGGCGAAAGAAGGTTCTTCAGATTATAAAAAGGTAAGAAAGAGATGGTTCTTTAAAGAACCTTTGACTGAATGGTTCTTTGTGGAACCAAAAATGGTTCTTCTATGGCATGGCTTGAAGAACCTTTTGAAGCACCTTTATTTTTAAGAGTGTATGCTCAGCTCTAAGATTTTTTATCTGCATTTTGCACTCTTTGTTGTTTTCTAAGTAGCCTATATGTATAGTTCAAGTCATGTTTACATACAGTACACCTTGCAGAATCTGCAAAATACTAAAAATTAAAAAAGAAGGATCCTAAATCGCACGTTGCTTTATTTAGTACTACCCTTAAGCTTTTTCACATAACAGACGTTTACATGCAGTCCAGAAGACATAATAACATCTGCATTTATACAAATGAAGCAGTTCAAAAGTTTATATATTGATTATCTATACTGTGCATCATTACCTGAATGATCCACAACTTTTTTTAATGATTTGTTTATATGGTAAGTCCCATGTTTGCCCTGAGCAGTCCTTGATCTGCAATGTTCTTCAGACAAATCCTCCAGGTCTTGTACATTCTTTGGTTTTCCAGCATCTTCTGCATGTCTAGATTGTATGATTTTGAGTTCCATATTTTCACACTGGTGTCACCTTTCAGGGACTCACACACAGCTATTACGAATGCTGAAAACATTCACTGATGTTTAAGAAGGAACACAATGCATTAAAAACAAGGGTGTGTAAACATTTGCACAGGCTGATTGGGAGTAAATTGTTCTTATTTTTGTCTTCTGGGAAATATGCAAGTATTTTATGTAACTTCTGAAGGGCAGTACTAAAAAAAAAGATCTTTAAACAAAATAAAGACAATTTCCACCAATCATCATGTTCAAAAGTTTACACCCCCTGGCTCTTAAAGGGATAGCTCACCCAAAAATGACAAATCTGTCATCATTTACTCACCCTCAAGTTTCACCAAACCTGTATGAGTTTCTTTCTTCTGTTGAGCACAAAAGAAGATGTTTTGAAGAACATACTAAAGAGTTGACAGCAACCATTGACTTCCATATAGGGAAAAATACTATGGAAGAAACATTTTGGATATCCCAGTATTTTGCCTTGAGCATCAGTGAATGTTTGCAGTTTTGATCATTCAGGTGACAACACACAGCATTAAGAACTAAATATCATGCGTATTATAAATTAGCAGTACTAAATAAACACAAAATGCATTTTTTTTAAATCGATTTGTATAATGGGTCAAAATGATTGATTTTTCTTTTATGCCGAAAGCCATTAGGATTTTAAGATCATGTCCCATGAAGATATTTTGTAAATTTCCTACTGTAAATAAATCAAAACTTAATTTTTGATTAGTGATATGCATTGCTAAGAACTTTCGATTGTTTTGCAGCCTGAGATTCCAGATTTTTAAATAGTTGTATCTCAGCCAAATATTGTCCAATCCTAACAAACCATACATCAATGGAAAACTTATTCATTCAGCTTCCAGATGACATCCTAAATGTCAATTTAAAAAAAACTGACCATTATGACTGGTTTTGTGGTACAGGGTCACATGTGTTCTCCTAAACTGTCTTCACTGTAAGTTTTAAAGCAAATAAGCTTTTATTGGGAAATAATAAGCCAGACCTACAGATTAAGGTGAGAGGAGGCACTAGACTAGGTGGCAGGACTTTGGCACAGCCCGTCACACCGGAGATCCCTCGGTCCAAAACCGGCTGCAGTCGTTCCAACGTGACGTCATTGCTTCCGCAACACCCCCCCATCACCCCCGCGCGCAGCGACGCGAGGCGAGAAACCGTCGATAGAGCCACCGGGATGCTGCAGAACGCGAGGATTAACCAGATGCATTGCGAACCGTGACGGGTAAAGTGCAGTGCGCGGAGAAAGAACGACAATAAGGAACGCCGAGAGACGGATTTGGGGGAAACTCGTTGATGCACTGGACTTTAAAAAAAGGCGAGGTGGAAAATCGAGACGACATGAAGCCCGAACGCTGCGTGCCCGCGGTGGGACATTATTTTTATTGTAGGTGAAACGTGGGGAAACATGACTGAGGAATCGCACCCAGACGAGTGAGTATTCACTTTTTGCGAAAACGACGCATGTGGACGCGAATGGAAATCTCATCCCGTGTCCAAGAATGCGTTGCCGAGCTAAACGAGGGGTCAGTCCGATGCAGGGAAACCGTGCGTATGCGCTTCTGCGAGAGACGCTGGAGATGTTCATACTAAGAAACAATGCAGTGTCAAAGAGATTTGAGTGCTGGGCCCCTGCTGCAGGGCTCTGGTCTCAAACCGAGAAGGAGGAGGGGCTCGAGCGGAAACATTTTGTGGAGGGATCCTTTACTGAATACTTTATATCACGTCGACGCGAAAGGCGAATTAGCGCTGCGAGGAAGCAGATAGACGCCTGCAAAGTTTCTAAACACACAACGCTAGAGCAACGAGCTCGTATGCGCTCCCAGAGCGCCCGTTCTTGGCGTCTTTCTTTGTGGTGGTCTGACATGCCATATCCGCCATTTCTTTTTCGTGAATCGCTCTCATTTGCATACTGTCCTTCATTCATAAAAATACAGACGGGGGCGCGTGCAGCAGAGAGCGCCTCAGAGCCGTGCTGATGGTAAAGCAGGCCCTATGTGGCATATACAGACCTATACATGCTGAATTTAAGCAGGCAGCTTCCTCCATATGCAAGAAACAAAAGCGAATATAAACATGCAATGAGCTGCACGATCGTAGCGCACAGTATTGGCAACAGTAGCCTATATACGTGTTTAGCAAGTTTGAGTTTTTTTGAGACATTCTTCTGCGTTAACATAAACACTCATATCTCAGCCGAACAAAGTCTCTCTGATAGTACTAGGGCCGAGTTAAACGGCTCGTTAACTTGGTGAGCTCTTTATGGGGCTTAAAATGAACTTTTGGAACATACACTCGATCTGTATTAACAAGGTGTTTATTTAGTCTGTCTTTTATGCCGGGATCCGTTTTGATAAAACGATTATGTGAGTTTTTATCGTTAATGCTAATGTAATGAAAATTATTCGTTTGAATAATTATTCTGAAGAAGACTGGTGTTGTAAAAAAAAAAAAATTTTCAACGCAACTTGTATTGTTACAACGCAATACAGTATTTTACAATAAACTACTGTAAAATACTGTACAGTATTATAACCTGTGTAAATGAATGCGATAAAGAGTGATGTGTTGTTATTGCCCCCGTTGTTTTATATTCTGAGCTTTAATTCATTATGATAATCATATTTTCCTGTTCAGGAAACAACTAGAAACTAAAAACAGTTCTAACACCTGTGCGTGTTTGTTTAGTCACGTCAAAAACTTTATTTTCCTTTCACACAGTTATCCAACGTCAACAGTCTTTAAAACTTTTAAACGAAATGTTTTTTTGCGATATATTTATTATCAGTGTTGGGGTAACTCATTACAAGTAACGCCAGTTACGTAATCAGATTACTTTTGTCAAGTAACTAGTAAAGTAGCGCATTACTTTTTAATTTACAAGAAAATATCTGAGTTACTTTTTCAAAAAAGTAATGCCAGTTACTTTGTTTTCCCATTTATTGACTGACAGCTCTCCTGTCCTCATATCGGGAGAAATCGGGAGTGCAGAGGAGTTGTGTGAACATGATGTAGATCTAGACTAAATGTGAATGTGCATTAATTCATCCCACTCACAAAAAACAGATTTAGTATTCAGCAAAATGAATTAAAACAGTGAACTGCAAACTCAGAATATGATGCAAACCTGCAAGAATTAAATGTGTTAAATAACACAAATGTATCTAATCCCATTTTATTAACCGATGTCTTTGCTGCTGACCTTTGCTGATCCAGTTCAAGCGTACTAATAAGCAAGGCTTATATTTAAAAAGTTACGCGAAAGTAATATAACACATTACTTTCCATAAAAAGTAACGAAGTACCGTAATTAGTTACTTTTTTAGGGAGTAACGCAATATTGTAATGCATTACTTTTAAAAGTAACTTTCCCCAACACT